TGGATCCGGTAGAATGRCGGTGATAATCTAATAAGAGAGGGAAACCGCGATCATTACAARCTTTAACAGTGAAAGAAACCTATAGACTGCTTAGACCAAAGGTTGACATCATGRCARTTTTTCAGGAGAGGTGGGCAAGGCATTTAAACATTGATATAAATYTAATCAAACACATTAAACTTTTCAAAAATATTAGACAACGCCCTACTAAATTCTCTTCCTTACAATGACAGATCATTCATKGATGTCTGTCCACCAACGATTGGATCCTGGATCACTTCACACTTGATCAACAAGGAGTAGCACTTCCTTGGTGTAAAACTTGACTGTCTGTATTTCCAAGTAGAAATTTGTGTGAAACTATAGAGCACATTTCCCTAAAATGTCGAGGAGTTTTGCTAATCTGGAGACGCTGAGATCGTGTCTGGAGGGAACTTACAGGCCCTGGGTTGGACTGACCTTGTGAATGGAGGACTATCGTTTTTGGGCATTGGGATCCTCCTTTGTTCACACCCACTCGAGCCTCTCGGTCCCTGTCCCACGCAACCCCAAGCTCCTGGGTCCAGTTTTCGAGTTGTGATTGGCTTGTCTGTGCCATTATACTGAACTGTATGTTTGTTCTCCACTTCCCAACATTCTTTCACCTTGATTTAGAGGAGGGCTTCCCCTATCTCAGGGGCGAAGGGTTCCTCCATTCTTGCCAGTATTGGGCCTTCTGCAACTTTAGTCCATGATTGCCAAACTTTGTTCCCTGTTTGGTCATATGCAATCAGCTTCGAGTAGATGGGGTATGCTCGTGGCTGACCCGGGGCATACCATGTGCCTGGAGGGCCGATTCCTGCCGGGCTCAGTATCTGTTTCCAATTATCTGGGATTCCGACAAGCATTTCTGCATACTTGTCTTCCACATAGTGCAGATTGCCTAGCACTTTGCGCAGATCCGATGGTGTCTGCCACTGTCCCGAGTTCTCATTCCACAGATCTTCAATTCAAAGAACGCTTTGTTGGATCCAACTGTCTCCAAAGGCTCTCAGGGATTTGTTGGCTCTAAACCGCTCACCCTGTGCGTTCTTTATTCTTAGATTGCCAACAATCGGTTGATCACGTACTTTGGCCATTGTGGACGGTTCCACGTGTTCGATTTAACGTTCCTCCATGCTTTCACCACGTCGGCCAAGAATTTCGAGGTGATCTTCCTATTTTGATAGGAGTCCAGCTGCATGCAGAGAGAGACGTCTCTAGGGCGCTGGAGATTTCATTCTTGAGCCAAAATGTGTACCGCCATTAGTACCAGTGGTACCCCCCATCCCTGCTTGCTACACGTACGATCCATTTAGCCATCAAAAAGGAGTTCTGTCTAATTGGATCGCAGATTTTCGAACCCCCTTCTTGTCTAGAAGGAGTGATCAACTCCTAGGTTACCTTGGTTAAAAACCCCTCATCCTATTCACCATGCGGTTTCCAAATTAACTTGACAGCTTCCCTGCATGTAGCTTTCACAAATGACTTACTCAGTAGTCTTACATTTCCCATGAACCACGACAGAGAAAACTGGGAAACATTAATGACCTGTGCCTTCCAAAGAAGGCAGATGCTGCGCTTTGCCCAAAAAGTTTATTCTAGATACGACTCTGTTCTGCATAATTTCCTCTTTAGTTGTTTGACATTTCGGAAGAATTGTAACTTTTTTTTTGTTTTTTTTACAGTATTATTATTGGCCTCGCACTGTTTTGCTTTTTCTTTTTCGTCTCACCCTGCCCCTAACATCGACGTGCTTCCCACACCACGTACCCCGTGGCCAAGTCCCTTCTCTCTTTTTTTTGTTGTCGGTCGTTTGAGTCTTTGTGTCGTGTTCGATGATTGGTTTTCTTTGAAGTTTGTTCGTCGATTCTTTCCTCAACTACAAGTCTCACTAGCAGCGTGGAGTTTTCTCTTTGCCTGAATCTGAACACGTTTGTGGAGATGTGCAAGAATCGCGTTGTCGAGCGCATCGGTCCACCACCACACAAAACGGGGCAGGACCCTCCCGACCGTGTCATGCAGGAGTTGGTCTATTCCTCATCACGATACTCATGGAGTTTTCACAAGCCGCTCCGACCGAGTGCACCAGCCATACCTCTCGCGAGCCCCTACGACAGGATAGGGCCTACGCGAGGCACGACTTACCTCCACCTTACGAGAGTTGTCACCTCCCTTCGGTGGGCGTATCCCCGCCGAGCTACCAGTCCATAGTACGAAAGCTAATCAGCCGCAATCGCAAAGGTGGAGCAGTTGAAGGCGTTTCTCGTTCGTTGTAGCATACTAGGGGGTATGCGCGGTTTGACGCCTCTATCGGACCCACACGTGAGCCGACGCATTGGGGGGCTGAGATCCGAACCACGACTCATCGTCGGTCGACTAGGACGCTTCCCACGCACCACGTGTACACCACTCTAAGAATATAAAAAAAAAATAAAACACACACACACACACGGAACGACACGAATCAAACAACGCACACAATACTAGTCCCTTCAGTAGTCATCCCATAACTCTCCGATGCGGAAATCGGATAGGCGACACGCGCGAGACTTAGCATAAAACTGCGCGGACGCAAAACCTTCCCACATCGACTAGTTTTGGAAATTTTTTTGTTGACTAGGTAGAGATGCCTCATCTTTTTAGACCCTTTCGCTAGCATCCCCATCGCACATCTCACACGATAACAACAAAAAAATTCCCACGAGAAATGAAAGTTGAAAAAACATTTCATAAAATAAAAATATTTCACATATATAAATTATCATTCCAATGTTCGTCCATTTCTAAAATTTCAACTTTTATTTGATAAGTTACCGTCTCAATATGAATTTTCTCTTCCAACTACATCTATTTTTTGAACATGGAATGAAAGTCAAGATAAGTTTATGAAATGTTTTAATTAAAACTCTCATTCTACTTTAACAAATATCTTCTAATTTAGATTGAATGACTTTATTTATGACTTAAAATCCTTACTTGGAACGACAATCCAATTAAAATATTTCATAAACTCATCCATACTTTCATTCCATCTCTAACATGTCTTTCAAATAAGAAGGGATACCCCATTCTAGGAAGGAAAGTTTTCAAATAAGACAAAAAAAAATAAAATTTGAATTATATTTTTTAGATGGAATCAAAATTTAAAATTTAGAATGCAATTTCAGTATAGAATGATTATTTAATTCAGGAAAAATTTTCTGTTGAAGAGAAGTCCCAACTCCAGGTAGATTCCATCATATTCCTCTGCACGGAACGCCTCTTTGATCTCTTATTCCTCAAACTCGACATCCTGGCTTTCCAACACAATATTTTTTTTCTCAACCGGATTCAACAAGCTTATTTGATCAAAATTCCGCTCCAAAAGCGTGTTGACGAGGAGGTGCATTCCTCCAATCAACTCCACGTGCTTCTCTACAACATAAAAGTTTCCTAAAATTAAATAATCATTCCATAGTAAAATTACATTCTAAATTTTTAAATTTTCGTTCTATCTTAAAAAATGTCATTCCAATTTTAAAATTTTTCATCTTACTTGAAAACTTTCATTCCAAGAATAGGGTATCCCTTTTTATATGAACTGCATGCTAGAGATGGAATGAAACTCTGGATGAGTTCATGAAATATTTTAATTGTACTGTCATTTTATGTAAGAATTTTCAATCATAAATAGGTTAATCCAATTTAAATTAGAAGGTATTTGTTATAATAGAATGAAAGTTTGATTAAGACATTCATAAATTCATCCTAACTTTCATTCCATCTAGAACAAATAGATGTAGTTGGAAGGGAAAACTTATATTTAGACGGGAGTTTATCAAATAAAACCGTAAATTTTAGAATCGGACGAACATTGAAATGATTAGTAATATGAATGATTTTTTTGAATGAAATATTTTTCCAACTTTCATTCCTTGTAAGAATTTCTCTGTTGTATCTGGTCTGACCCTTCTTCTATCGTTCTTACTTTCTGTACTAGACTTCGTGTGTCTGCCAATGCCAACTTCATCATCCATTGGACATCCTTGCCGCCCAACGTGTCTTCTTCCTCAAAAGGCTTGAGTATAAGCTCTGCCTTGTGCTCATACCTCTTTGGCGCAAACCAGATAGGATGACCGACACGATTCGGCACTTGCAAGGACCATTCATTAATGTAAAGACGAATGTCTTCTTCTTGATCCAATAAATCATCAACCGGAGACGTGTTTCTACTGCCTCCCCCTTTTGTTTATCCCAGTTGATGCGACTCAGCCCATCTGCTCTATTCTTGTTCCTTGGAATCCGTTATAATTCGAAATTAAACATCCAGATGTACGTTAGCCACCTTGCGACAGTTGGATCCGATAGAACATAATTCCTCAATGAGTATATGAGCGCAGTTAGGTCTACTCTCAATATGAACCTTCTGCCAAAGATATAATTTCGGAAAATCCTCAAGCAGTGAAGAACAACGAGAGTCTCTCTCTTAAACCGAGAGTTATTTCTCTCTGTCGTACAAAAAGTTCGGTTCTCAAACCTTCAAGTTAGCGACCTCTCCTTTCCTTCGACATCTGCCTCAATCAAGACTCCCCCCTAAGGCAGTCGGTCCAGCGTCCGTGTCAACGGTGAATGGTCTTATCTCAGTGACTTCATAGTCTGGTGCTCCCAATACCAATCCTCCTTCTCAAAACTCCTTCATCCCTGCCACGACCTTTTCTTGCTCCTCACCCCAGACCCATTCCTGACCCTGATGTACTAACTTTTTCAAGTGCTCGGTCTTGGCAGCAAAGTTTTTCACGAAGGTTCTCCAAAACCCACACGTGCTGAGGAAGCTTCTAACATTTGTTATCGAGTGAAAAGGTACCGGCCATTCGATAATCTTGTCCGTCTTTTTCACATCTGGTCGTCAACCACTCTCGCTACAGACGAACCCCAAGATGGTAACCTCCCTCATGCAGTGTTTGGATTTAGCACCGCTTGCAGTAAGGTTGTGTTCCTCAAGCAAACTTAGGATTTTATCAAGATCCTGAATATGCTTCTAAACAAAACGTCTAACATCTGGCAAGACTTCGTCACTCTCCTTCACATTAGTCCATCCTTGCGGAGCTACATTCATGTGGATCAGTCCTCGAGCCGTATGCATTGTTGTCATTGGTCTGTCTGGCGGATAAACAGGAAACTGGTCATATCTGGAGTAGAGGTCTATAAGGGAAATTATAGGTCTCCCAGCACATGACTCTGACAGCGCATCGGCATTTGGCAAGCCCCCCGCATCTCGCACGGTCACTGCTTTCAACCGCTGCAAGTCCTGCACCCATCGCAACATCCCATTAGGTTTGACAAAGCAAAACCATGGAGACGCATACGACCCACTCGAGTAATTGGCGACATGCGTACGTATCTTTCCGTCGACATAGTCCACCACTTTCTTCTCCTCGTGGATACCGCGCCCCTCTCAAGTTTCACGGCTCATGTGGCACGGTATAGATCCGGATCATAGGAATCTTATCCATGTCCAATCTCCCGCGCGGATCATCATCGAATGCATAGGCGCGATACCTCTTCTTCATTAGCTCTACCATCTACACCCTTTCCTGGGGTAACAGAAAGTCAGGGTCTCCCTCTATTAGCTTTCCTTCGTTCCCTTCATTGATACGACACAACCCAACTGCCGCTTGCTCCCTCATTCACCGTATCAATCCTCGTTCCGACTCGTATCAATCCTCGTTCCGACTCGTCATAAACCTCTTCATCCTCTGTGTCGAAACCGAGCGACACTTCTTGTCTATAGTCTTGTACCGCCTTTGAGAACCCTGCTTGAGTCGTCCCCTAAAAAAAGTCGCCTTACCGCTTGCGCCTGCATCATTGCAGGGTCTCTTCTTCTGCCCGGAAGCCGATAAACCAGCTCTACTTCCCCAGGCTGGGGACATTCCAGAACCTGTTCCCTCAGTGCCTRAATGGCGTCTGGATCCGCCATCTCATGCATGACCACTACATCCATGGCCTTGTTTACATCGGATAGGTTAAGGGAAAACTCCTCCTCCCGTGCCTCCTCTTCTGGTTCCTCACGGAGTCTCTGACGCTCGTTGTCGGAATCTCCAATCGTGAATGAACTAGGGTTGGGCCGATTCCTTATACTTCGTGAGCCTGTGTTTCGACAAGTAAGTATCTCATAGTTTCCACACGCCGGATCACACAGGATCAAGATCAGAGTCCCATCGTGTTTATTAAATATCAACATCTCTGTTCTGCATAGGAACGACCTCGCTAGGAGGATGGCATGGTCCACATCCGGCATGACGAAGAAGCAAGCCCTGACCTTCACTCTCACAATCTCAATAAGCACGTTTGACGCCGTTCTGCAAAATACTGCCTTGCAGTTGGCCCCGTGCAGAATGTCACAATCCGAGCGGTTTATCTCCAACCCAAACTTGAGTGCATCAACTTCCTTGATGATATTCATCTTCGCCCCTATATCCACCATTGTTGTGCACTTCGATCCCTTTACCACTAAATCCACCATCCCGCAGGCTACGCATTTCCAGTCCATCTTTATCCCAATTTCTGCTCATTCCGCCTCCTTTGGCAGAATTACGCTTAGATTGACATTTGGCACCAAACGTCGTGAAAATCTTTCCTTTAGCTCGTTACGGAACTTAGGAGCAGACGCCAGAACCTCCTTCAAGGTCACAAGGTCGTTATGACCTTCAAGTAACCTATCAATCACCTTTTTTACGTCAAACCCTTCCTCCAACCAGACCGCATACTTCTTCTTTGGCGCCGCATCATGCAGATCCGGTTCGGTTTCCTCCTGGGCTCCCCTCTTCTTGGCCCTTTGCTCTGCCCTTCGATCCTCCTCTCAGCGCAGCCTATCATCTTGCTCTTCTTCATCGTCGTCCTCCTCTACCTCTACGGCCTTTCCTGGCTCTGTCTCTCTCCGAGGATGTTCTCGGCTGACATTTGCCTTGCTCTGACCTCTAGTTTGCGCTGCTTGCGCCATTCTCCCTTGCGTAGTAGGGGGCCTGAAGGTCATTCCCGACCCAGGTCCTGACCCCACAGTGGCTACTCCAGGATAACCTTGTCGTCCTGATACCAACTTTGGGCCGGATTCGTAGAGGAAGACTTTGGGGATGCTGACCCTCCATTATTTTACTTGTTCACATATATCTACCCGTTTTTGCTGGTATCTCCCCACTTTCCCTCACAAATCCTCCATCTTTCCCAGAAGGACGGATGTCGGTTCCACCTTCTCATCCTTACCCTCTCCATCCGACTCATCGACTATAGGCTTTTTTTTTATATTCTGGGTCTGTAGTATCTGAGTCCCTTCTTCATCACACTCCACCTCTTCCACCCTTATTGGTCGGTCATCCCTTTCCTGCCACAACCTGAACGTGGCGGGTGGCGCTTCTCGCCCAGCTATTCTCCTATGAGCTTCCGCTCGCACTCCGCCTGGAATCTTTCGGTCAATATACTCCCCGCAGTAATCATATACGTCACCGTCCATATTGAAATAGATCAGTCCAGACTTTTCATCTTCTCGCCTTGTACTGCAGAACCGTATTGTATGACCTTGCTTGTCGCAATGCTTGCAAATAACGGTGCTCCAGTCAAAACGAGGCCTTCCATAACCTTGACCCCCTTGATTCCCTTATCTCCCTTGGCCTTGGTAACCTTGGTTGTCCCATTGTCCACCTCGGCCACCGCCATTCCTGCCTCGTCCCCTTCCACCGCCTCGCCCTCCATTCCCTTGGTTCCCCCAACCTTGATTTCCCCCCCCCTGCCACGCTATCTTGTGAACTCGGCGCGGGCGATGGAGGTGGCGCCATGGGCTGGGCCTGCGCTGCAGGATAGCTCGACTGTGGCATACTTGCTTGGGGCCCTGCGTATGGTACCATTTGTCCTGACGGACCTGGACCTCCCCACAACACGAAGGTGTTAAACACAGGCCATGACCACTGCCCATATGGTGGTACCGCCGCTTGTGAGGGTCCCGCACTACTTGACGTAACCGACGTACCTGGTGAGGCTACTGCCAATGCTTGGGGCGCCTGTCCCTTTCCGGAGTCTTGCGCTCCCTACGTCAAATTGCGTCATTTGCGCAGTGCCTTTGAAAGGTGTTGGGGCACCGACTCCTCCTCTTCCCATTCTTCCTGAATGGCCTCCTCTGCCACTGGATCCTTCCCCTTTCCTTGGATCGTTGTCACCATTTTCTATTGTACCACAACGTTTTTCTCATAACCCAGCTCCGCGAGTACATCTGTAACGATCCTTTTCACCCCTGGGGTCCCTGAGGAGGTTCCGCCGTTGCTGACGCATTTGGTACTGTTCCACCTGGTCCAAACTCCCTTCCTCTACCCCTTTGTCGATTGTGGCCCAGGTGAGATTCACACTTCCTTCTCCGTGACTTGTCAATTCCGAGGCTTCCGAGGCGGTGAACAATCCTAGGAAGATAGCACACTGTGCTTCTTCAGAGATTATGAGGACCTACCTTGCCTTTTTCTTAAATTCCTGCACAAAGGCGCCGACCGTGGTGAATGACGGTGCCGTTTGCTTGCACCATTATTCCTTGTGTTTGCTCATGGTTCCCTTGGGACATCCCAAGTCCCCGCCACCTTCTTATATGCTAGCCCCATTCCTTTGTCCCGCCGGTGGTTCCGTCGGCGCATGTCCCATTTTCCGATTTTTATTATTTGGGCCCCCTTGGTCCCTGGCAACATTCCGGAAGGTGTCCCATTTTTATTTTTGGGGCTTCTTGCCCTTGGTGGTCCCATCATCTTCTACATGTGTGCTGATTTTTCTAGGCCGTGAGATCTCATCTCACGGTTGCCGTTTACCGTCTTTACTTGCCCCTTGCCGAGATAGCTCCTTTCTAGCCTTCCGTGCTTGCAGTAGCCCATTCCCCTTTGGCCTTGGCATCCTCATGCAGTCCGTAATTTCTCGGACTGCAGTTATGGTTGTTTTATACACCCACAGCCCCACAACTTGCCCCATATTAGAGGAAAATGAAGCGTTAAATTTTCTAGTGCATCTGGGCTCAATGTTGGCTCTGGATACACCTAGAACATGTGTTTTTTTTCCCCCATGCAGTCCGTTGCAATTTGGAGTGCAATGGGGGTCAATTCCTTAGCCCCAATGCCCCACAATTAGCCCTTACTCAAAAGAAAAAGAAACGGTCAATTCCCAAGTGCATCCGGACCTGATTTTGGCTCCGGATGCACCTAAAACATGTGTTTCTCCTCATGCATGCATTCCGTTTTATTCCGGTTGCAAGAGGTCTTGATTTTTTTTTACTTTCTCTGCAAAAATCAAAGAAAATCAAAGTCCTTTGTAACCGCCATATTCCAGAATGAATCTCGTCACGGATGAACCTCCCTAAGTGACCGTTTTTCACCGTTAAGGTCTTTTTCTCTTTTCTTTTCTTTTCTTTTATTTTCTCCTCCTTTCTTGGACAGTAGGGACCTGCCAGTCCCTACTTGTGGCAGTCCCTACTGACGGTCAACTCACTTACTCCCTCTCACTCTTTTTGTTTTATTCTCCCACCTTTTCTTTTCTTTTCTCTCTTTTTTCTAGCATTCCAAGTGTCAAGTGGCTGTTAAGGCCCTTTTCTAGCCTCTTCCTCTTAGTTTTGGCCCTCCCTATGCCCAAGATGTAGTCCGTTATATGTTGGACTGCAATAATGCCCTTCCCATGCCCATGGGAGCCTCCTTTTACTCCTACATTTCTCCCACAATGGTCCCTCCCACTCCGATTTTCTCCCGGAGGGCTATTTTTCACATGGGGTCTTATTTGACTCTATTTTCTTGAGGGAGGCTGATCCGAGATTTTTCGGATTGCTCTCATGCTTCCCACTTCGGTTTTCTTTACTTTTCCTTTTCCTTTTGGCCTAACCGTTTGCCACCACTAGTACTTGCACTAGTGGTGCTAATATTCTTGGCCGTCTATATGTCGATCTTGACGGTGCACCTTGCATTTATTTTTTTTTCCTCATGTAGTGCCGCCGTTTCTTCTTGGGACTTTCACATGTCCCCGCCACTTGTTCCGTCGGTGTTCCCCGACACTTAGTCCCGTTGGTGGTCCCCGACACTTAGTCCTGATTGGCGGTCCCCGATACTTAGTCCCGTCTGCGGTCCCCGACACTTAGTCCCGTTGGCGTTCCCCGACACATTAAGCCCCGGACGCCATTATTTTTACTTAGTCCCACGTGGCCCCGGGCGCCTTTCCCCATGGTGTCCCATGCCCCTTGGGCGTCTTGTTGCCCCATCGCGACTCCTCTCCTTAGTCTTTCCTCGCGCCTTGTGCGTGTCGATCCCTTTGGCTGTGGGCCTCTGCTCCGAGGCTCCCGTAGGTGGCCCCCATGTTGGCCCTTCATTTCCTGTCTTCCCGCGGCTTCTGGCCGCCCATCCCTCGACTTCCTCATTCCCTTATTCCTGTCGTGCTGCGTTTGCTGGTTCAATGACCCTTTGGCCTTAGTCTTATCGCATTCCAACGATCCTTCCGACCTCATGCTACGTTCTATGTGCCCCAGCTCTTGCGCTCGCTTGCTTATCGTTGCTAGTTCTTTCTTTTTGTGGTTCTCTCCTCAGGGCGTCATTCCCTTCTGCGACCTAATCCTTTGTCTTTTCTCTGTCCCGCTTCCTCACTCCAGATTTCTCTGTTGTGCACAATTTGCCCATATTCAATCTCTCGAGTGATGGGAAGTTATTTGGGACCCACCAGTCCCGACACCGTTGTGACCGGAATCTGGGCGGATGCGCCTGGGACTGAGGGAGGGCCTGGCTCCTGGCGACCGTCGTGCTAGGGGCGTGGACAGTCACCAAGATGGCCGGGTCGGGGGTAGCGGAGGAGGAAGCTCCGCCGAGGCCACCCTGTCGAAGGGCAGGGGACCCGGACTGGGAGCCAGGAAATGAAGGACACGCAGCGTCATGGAGTTGCTGCATGATGGCGACAAGGGTCGCCACATGCGCCTGTAAGGGTGCCAGGGTCGCGAGTTGCGCCTGGATGGGCCCAAGGAGGGAGGTGAGGAGGGTGTGCAGATCCCCCTAGGGCTGGTGGCCCTGGTCTGTCGGCACGGGTCTGGAGCCCTGTGCCGTGGTCGTCGCCGCGTCGGCGGCATGCGACACACCGTCGGCCATAGGGAGGTGACGGGCCGGACTGGAGGGCGTAGGGGGGGGTCCGCGGTAGAAGGCGACGGACGGCGCTAGCAAGGCTGGCACGGGCGCCGTCAAAGGGGGAGGGGTGGTTCGGGTCCTTGGTGCCCGAATAGGAAGGGGAGTAGGGGGGGTTTGAAGAACCTTATACCCTAGAAAAACCCTAAGAAAACCCTAATCGGAGTTTGAATAGTTAGGGTACGGTGTGGGTGACCTAATCAAGAAAATAAAATAGCAAACATAAAGGGGGGGGGGAAGGCAGGAGAAAAATAAATAAACAACGAGATTTCGAGAGAAAATAAAAATAAATAAGGAAATAAATAAATAATAAAAATAATTAAATAAATAAGTAAAAAAATGTGAAGAGAAGAAACAATATTTATTTTTTTGAAATTTTCGGCAGCATTTCCTTACCCCCCATGGGGTCAAGAATGTGCCAAGGGGAAAGGAGACACC